ACAGATAGTACAATGTATAGATTTGTGAAATTTTAATAAATAACAAACAAAAATATAATCCATTACATCATAAAAAATGTATGGTACCATATATTGTAAAGAAAAAAAGAATTTACTCACGTTTACCAATAATGTAATTTTAATATCTATTAGTAAATTTTTTTTAATTTCTATTAAAGTTCAGAATAGCCAATTGGGTGTGACCGATTTTCGGAAGTTTCGTCTAAATCCTTCTTTATGCAATGTATCATTTCATTATACTGAATTCTTTTAATATTTGTACTTTTACCGATAAAAAGGTTTACTTTTACTTTAGCTAATTTCTAGTTACTTAGCTACTTTAGCTAGTTTTTAAATTTATTATATTTAGTGAACTATAATATTATTGTATTTTCCTTTGTTGTTGATTAAAATTTATATATTGTGCTATCATTGTGATTAATACTACAGTTGAATATTATGTACTCACTTATCGATAATGACTTGTATGCTTTTTAAAAAATCCTGATCTTCCTCATCGATTTCTAAAAAACTTATAATTGTCCTAATCACACTCATTTCTAAGTACATTGCAAAAATTTCAATTGGTACTTTATGCGCGATTCTTTGAAAGTACGTGGACATCTGTGCAAATATCGAATTCTTCAAACTTCTTCTAGAACTACCAGAAAGTTTGTCCTTTTCAGACAAAATAAAATTGATATTGATATTACTTGGATTGTTGTTACTTAAATAATTCTCATTTGTTGATGCTTTACTTTCAGATCTATTTAAAATAGGTATCGATGTATCCAGTCTTTGAAGAAATTCCCCAACTTCTTTATTGGCTATTTTTTTTTCTTGATATCTATCCCGTTCCCAACTGTGGACTCTCACGCCTCCTCTTTCACTGGCTTTTAGAATAACAACTTGATTAATAGAATGTTCTCTACAATATTCAAGAATTTCCTCAACGGAAGCCAAATCCAAAATTGTAACTTTTAATCCAAAACTCCAAAACTCTTTCAAAAGATCTATCATCTCTTTCTCTCGATGAGGATTGCCCAGGCAAGAAATTGCAACATCGATTCCATATTTACTGTCAGAAGATTCTGACGTCTCCAAAACGGCTGATACAAGTTTATCCAATGAGATGCTGATTCCAGCACCGTATTGTTTAGCTTCTTTGCAGGCCATTCGGAGTTTTCGGAAAGACGACAACATTTTGTCGTAACGTCCACCTGCTGCTATTACTTCTCCACATTTTTTTCTACGGCGTTTAACTTCGCACGTTATTTGATAGATTGTACCACTGTGTTGATTTATATTATGTACTAGGAGAGGAACTACTACTACTGTCCACTGAAAAATATAATATTCATTACACTTATTAATGATTATATAGTAAATAACGCAACGAAAATAAGAAAAAACAGAATACTTTTTGTTCTTTTAAATTTATTTTACAATGAAACAATATTGCAATATGCAATAAGATTTTCTTTAAATCTTGTATATTGGTATCACTATGCAAAATTTTTTTTATTAGATCTTAAGAAAAATAGGGATTAACATTAAAAGAATGATTAAAAAATTAAGTTCTCTGATATTATGTAATGCTATGT